TTGTGTACCTATGCTTCTGAGGACAATGTTCGAAAATTATTTCCATTCACATGTTTAGGTGTCAGTCGAGGAGCTTATCTCCAGTTTGAGGAAATCCAGATTCAGTCGAGCTTCATAGTACGTCTTCGTTATTTTAAAGGGCGTGTATTTCATAGACCTTACATATAGTTGTGTCGTAAATCTCTTTTGTTACTCGTATATTTTGAGATGTTATAATGGGAGCTCCACATTTTGTAAAATTTGAATGTTTAGATTTTTTACTATGAAATTTATGGATGTTTATCATGAATATGAGAAATGAATTAAAAAAAAGGGTTAATCACTTCGGTGATTTCGTGTAATACTCAAATCATCCAGATTCTAGATCGGATCAGATTTAGGTGTTACATATAATGTTTAGTGAATCAAAATTTTGTTAAATGGATGCAACTCATCTATATTACTATAACTATGTGCAAGCAAGTTTTCTCTTAACAATAAAAATAAGAAAAAGAAAACTATACCTTTGACCACTTAACTATTGTCCCTTTTCATTTTGACCATTGATGTTTCCAGTTTTTCAATCAAACCATCTAATTATTTAATTGTTGCCAATCAAGTCACTTTCCGTTAATATTTAACAGATGAGTTGATGTGGTTGTTAAACAAATTAGTGTAATTACAATTAATCCTTTATATTTACATATTTTATCAATTTAGTCATAATTTTAATTCAATTTAATGAATTTAATCTCTAATTAAATGACGACCCATGTCACCATTAGATTGAATGGAAAATAAAATAAATTAGATTAATTACAATTAAAATATACTCTCCAATCATTTTGAAACGATAAAATGAACCTTGAAAGTCATTTAAAGTCCACGATTATCTTCTAGTCAGATGTGTTGAAAAAGTTTTGCAATGTTGAATAATCCTATATTGCTATAATATATGTAATAGAAAGGAAACATTGCGCTTTGTAAATGTAATGGTGAAAAATGAGAGAGTTGAGCCAACCTTGGAAATTGATGCTCCATAGCTAGAAACAATGATGAAAGAGGAAGGAAGAAATGGTTACTTGTAGCAAAGATTGTTTTGTACATATGGAGAGCTTTGTTGGTGTAAGCCGTCTTGAAATTGCAAGCATGCACATTAGCTACTTTAGAACCGACTAAAAGTTTGAAACATTCTATTTATTTTTGTTGTTGTTCATTCTTTAGTTATGTATCAATATAAACATTCAATTTCAACAAAAAGTCACTTTGGCCGAGTGGTTAAGGCGTGCGTTTGCAAAGTACATTTGTTTTCCTATCGAGAGTTCGAATCTCTTAGGCGACTACTATTTAGTGTTTTGGGTAAATTTTCCAAATGGTCCTCCGACTATAAGACACTATATCCATTGACTATTAAAAGTTAAAAATTGATCACTCGACTATTTATATATTACAAACTCATCATTTCCATAAAAACAATGATAGACATCTGAGTTGAACATTAACATGCTGACTGAAATAATAATAAAAGCATATTTAATGAAATATCTATCGACATTGTTGTTGCTTTTAAGCACTAGTTCGAATATCAAACACTGCTTTTAAGCACTAGTTCGAATATCAAACACTAGTTCGACGACATAATATAAACAGATATTCGATCCATAAAAATAAATCAAATAATTTTGAGATCAGATTTTATCATATCTTAATTAGCATGTTAACATCCAACTTGGATAGTCGCCAATTTTTTAATAGAAAAAGATGAGTTTAGAACATATGAATAGTCAGAAGACTATTTTATAACTTTCAATAGCCGGGGGGACAAACCAAAATAACACATTATAGTCATAGGAACATTTTGTAACTTTAATAATCGAGAGTGTACCACCCTTTTCCTATATCTGACCCCAAATATAAGTTAGAGATATCACATCATACATTTAAACCATTTCCTATTTGATAATCAGTAAAAATATTTACTTTAAAAATCATCAATTTAACATATTTCAATAAAATCAACTAATCACGTAAAATCAAAATATAAAATTTAACATCAAAATCAATTCTGATTTTATGCAGCAACTTGATAGTTCAATATTGTTTCATATAAAAAGTGAATCTACCTAAAAACTGTCCAAATAAAAATTCATCTTAGAAATTGGACGAATTAGAAGCATATAAGAGACAATGGATCATAAATTTGAAAGCTCAATACTGCAAAGTTCAAAAGTAAAGGGGTGAGAAAGAAAGTTTATTGAGTGAGCTGTAAAAGGTAAAAGATCGAGTGGCTGAGTTGGAAGCCGAGAAAAATAGTATGCTTGTAAAACTTGAGGCAGAAAAAAGTGTTATCTTTTAAGGCTTCGAGTTTGAGATGAACATATTACTTACGAGCTCGATACCAAGTGGTAGAGAGTTTAAGAAATTAAGATCGAAACTAAGAGATTGGTGTTAAAAAGGAAGCACTGAGATATTATGCTTGAGGTTCAGTTGGAGATCACCACTGCTTGGGTTTAGAGGGGCCATGATAAGACTGATTAGATAGAGGGTCTTGATCAAAGGCTATGTAAGACACAAGTCAGATGAGAGGAGGATTTAGCTCAGTTTCAGGTAAAAACACTAAGTTTATAGAGTATATTGTATAGCTCGAGGAATCTTTATTCCAGGAGAATGCTCAGCGAGGGTCGAGTGACCTTAGGGAGAGCCGAGAAGAGAATGCTGCACTACGTTGCCAGATTCAGGACCTCGAGGAAGAGATTTAGAACTTCCAGGAGCACGTCATTGACGTAGAGCATGTCATCCAAGAAACCAATGAGGAATGGTAGAATTCAATTGATGTTTATGAAGACTGGAATGTAGTCAGTAGCCATGTCATCATAGAGGCCATGACTCAAACGAATGAGGTCACCAGGTATTTGGGAGAGTTAGTTGTTAGGGACAATGTTGTTGGGTTTTACATCGACCTACTTTTCGAGAATGACAAGAAGGTGTCATGGCTGATTAGTGAGGTTGTATAGTTGAGTTGGTGGGCTAGTCCATATTTCTAGATATGAGCCATTGTGTAATGAGACACTTTTGTTTCCAAATGATAGTTTTTCTATGATAGTCGAATTTTTAGGATCAATATTTCTTGCATTCATGTATTTTTAATTTCTTTCATTTTCTTATTAATTTCATATTTTATTCAATAAAATATTGTATAATGTGATAGATTTTAATTCGAAATTATTCTGCCCCCTTGTAAAAAAGCTTCACACATGTACAACACCTGGGGAAAAGCATGAGGAGAAAAGACATGGGAAGGCCTTAGTAAGCATCTTTATGGAATTTTGCGTCCTAAGCTTGTGATTTCAAAAAGGGATAATTTGGGCTAAAGATTTAATCCCAACTTCTAGTAACGTCAAAAAGAGCTGAAAAAGATAAATGAGGTGAGAAAGTCTAGGAATATCCCCTGGGAATACATATCTTTTCCTGATATGAAGTACTTTTTCAAATTTGGGGGCATGTATGACACAGAGCAACAGTTGGCCCGTACGATAAAAAAAAGGAGAGCAAATGAAAGATCAAGAAATGTTTGATGAATCAATGGAGAGGTTGTTCAACATGATTAGAGAGAAAACAAGGTTGAAAGGTTCTTCACTGGAATCCACCTTTGTTTCTCGGGTGAAAATCTTAACAGCTAGACTACAGAGGATCTCCATGAAGTTTTTAGGCTTAACCTAGTGTAATACCGGGAACCAACACTTATGCTTGTGCCTACGAGCATTAAGGGATCTTTTTTAAGATCAACTATGTTTGGTTCCACTTACTTTTTTTTGAATAAAAAGATGTTTTCATTCATTTCTCAAGTGGCCATCAATTTTCTTACGTTCTATCTTCTTTCGATTTTACATTTTTTTCTACATTCCTTTTATTCGTTTCTTTTCCCAAGTATATATTTGTTCCAAATTTTCTTCGTAGATGTCACAATATTAATAACACGAACATTTCTGAATTTAATCATGAGATAAATCTCAAGCAACTTATATCCTTAGAAGAAATTAATGATTGTGAAAATAAGGTAGAATGTGATGTTCCTAACGAATAAAGGTTGGTGGAAAATGAAGATAAACAAATCTTGCCTCAGTAGGAAGATATTTAAATTGTTAATTTAAGGAATTGTGAAGAAATGAAAGAAGTAAAGATTGGTACTATCTTGTCACCTAAAATGAGATAAGATTTGATAAATATGCTTTAAGAGTTTAAGGACATCTTTTCTTGGTCTTATCAAAATATGTCAGGGTTAGATACATACATACCGGTGTATAAGCTTCCTATAAGGCCTAAATGCAAGCCATTTCAGAAAAACTCAGGACAATGAGGCCTAAAATACTCTTGAAAATCAAAAAAAAATAAGTGAGAAGGCAAATTGATATAGGATTTCTCTAAGTTGCTAAGTATTCAGAAAATGGTGACCAACATTGTTCCTAAGCCTAAGAAAGATGGAAAAGTGCACGTGTATTGAATATATAGACAGCGAGTCTCAAAGACAATTTTCCTTTTTCTTATATTGATACTTTGGTGGATACTAGTGTAAGACATTCATGGTTCTCTTTCATAGATGGTTTCTTGGGGCATAATCAGATAAATATGAATGTAGAGGACATGAAAAAAACAAAATTTGTAACCATGTGGGACACATTATGGTATAAGGTGGTGTCATTTGGGTTGAAGAATGTAAGAGTAACATATCAGAGGGCTATGAAGACCATTTTTCCATAACATGATGCAAAAAGAAATTGAAGTGTATGTGAATGATATGATTGCTAAGTCCCAAATTAAAAAAAAGTACATTAAGAGATCTAATGATAGAACTGTAGATGCTCGTTTTGTCTGGGGATCACATTAAGATTCGTTTGGGTTTATATATTAGTTATTTAGGCATATTCATATTATTAATTAGGAGAGTACACTATTATGATTATATATGTATAAATAAATATATAATAAATAATTAAATTGAATATATATAATATAATTTAAAGTGTACTAATTAAATATTTTATTTTACAAGCCCAAAATAATTACAAATGAACCATTTGAGCCCCAAGAAGTAGTAGTCCCACACAAATAAGGTTTCTGTCATTCCCAGCGTCGCCTAAACATGCACCGTTGGATCTCTTGTGAGATCAACGGTCGGATTATACTTGAGTTAGGTTTTGTTAACCCTAAGATCATCTTCTACCGCCGCCACACTAATGCTAACCGTTGGATCCAATTAGTGATCCAACGGCCTAGCTCCACCCGAAGCCTTCACATGGGCCAGCTGTCTCGTTCGTGCAACCACTTGGATGGTACCTACAACAAACAATTAGCCAGAAGATATTCTTCGGCCACGTACAATTTCCAGCAATAAAAGCAGAAAGAGAAATTAACAGATACGGGGAATGAGATCAACATAAAGGGGGACTTTTAGTAACAAGAAAAAAGGGAATCATCAGCAATCAAAAATCGAGAGAGAGAACAAGAAAAAAAAACCCATTTTTAGCAGAGCAGAGAAAGAGAGAAAAGAAAACCATAGATAGTTTCTCTTTTTTATGACTAAATCACCTATTAACCAAGAATCGAATCGAAAAAAGAAAGAATATTACCTTTCCTGTCCAGAAGTCCTCGTCGACGTTGCTAGGAGCGAAAACCCCGTCGAGTTGAAGGTAAATCCTTCGTCGTTAGTCCGTGTCTTTGTGTTCAGGGTCTTTGGGGAAAAGTTGTTTTCCAGGAATCTTAGCTAATGGGTCTAGGGTTTAGAAAAGTTGGGTGTTTTGGTTAGATATAGGGTTTGGTTTACGAGAAGGGGGTCTATTTTGTCTAGGTTCCTCATAGGAGCCTTCATGGGGCAGTGACCATGGAGATTGCCTTGGTCGGAGATGGGCGGATAAGGTGTTGTTTAGGGTTATGCTTTGTATTGGTTCAAAAGAAAAGGGGTTCTATTTTGAAAGGCTTAGGGTCTTTGGTTTAAGGAGTAAGGTTTTAAGGGGTCTATTTGACCCCTCATTGGGGTTCGTACATGGTGGCGGCTGTGGTGGCCGTGGGTTTGAGGGGAGAAGAGGAAAAAGAAAAGAATAGAGGAGAGGATAAAATAGAGAGGGGAAGGAAGCGGCTGAAAGAAAAAAAGAAAAGAAAATGAGACTAGGGTTTAGTTTTTGCCTAAAATGTTGTATATATATATATGATTACTAGAACGACGTCGTTTGGGAGGTTTAGGTCACCCGTTTCACGCATGGGTTCTTTGTTGTATGAGCCACTCAAGTTTTCCATTTTAATTCATTTTATTCCTCAAATCGAAGTTTCATTTATTTAATTTTGACTCCATTTTGTACGTACATTTAATTTCAGTTCCAAGTATTACTTTCATTAATTTCTGTTATTTTAGACATTTGGCCTTTAAGTTTTAGAATGTTTCATTTTAGTCCTGTGTATGTTTGGGATTTACTCTGATTTCAACCCTTTGTGATAATGATGGTTTTATTTCAGTCTCAGTGTCTAGTATGGTATAATGTTTATATTTCCACCCCGATTATTATCATGTTTGTTGTTAAGATGGTAAAGTTTCTGTTCACTATTATTTAGTCCTTATTTTAATATGTATACTTAATTTTTGAAATTCTTATTTTGAGGTGCTATGATTTTATTTTTTGTATTTGAGTCATGTTTATGCATTTTATGTTAATACGCGTTTAGTTTATAGATTATAGTGTAAAAATATATATATGTATATAATTTTTTGCTTGAAAATGTCACCTCACATGATAGTTTTTCATATAATCTTTAATATTTAGATGATCACATAATACTTTTTAATTAATTCATATATGTTATCCTCACGAGCATAACTCGACTCATATCAAATAATTGGATTAAGGGTAATACTATTTCTTTTTAAACTCGTTATGAGGTGCTTGTTTTAACTAATTAGAGAGCCACTTCCGATGATTTTAAAATGAAAGCGTATCCCCTTAAGTGAAACCCTAAAATGTTGTTTTCACCTAAAATTTGGGAACAAAAAGAAAAAGAAATATTTGTTTATTTAAATTCTTCGAGAAAAAAATTTAGAACTTGTTTAAGTTCTGATCATGATGTATTTAAATAATCGAATATCCTTATTCTTTATAAAAAGGATTGGTAATTTTTAATTTAATTTGTTTGGGTGCATTTGAATATTATGATGGAACCGTAATATTTCTCTATTTCAATTGAAGTAAGAATTAATTGCATCAGGGTATGAGGGGTTGTTTTCTTGTCGATAGGAAATAATTAAATATTATTAGATTTCATTTTAAAATTCATAAATGTTTGTTTTATGGGATCATAAACTAAATTAAATTCAAACTTATAAATTTCATTCAAAGACAATTAATTAATCGACTAAGTACCGATTTAAGGCGTCGTGGGGTGCTAATCATTCCCTAGCGTAATTGACTCCCGAACTCAAATTTTGGTAATGTAGACCTCAAATTTTTTATTTTAATTAAAATTAATATTTTTATTATAATGACAAAATACATTTTTGGGTGCCCAATCACACCCTAATCAAAGATTGATGGCGACTCCTCGAACCATACATTTTTTATTTTAAAGGGAATCATAAATTTTTCGAAGCAATAGATTTTTTAAATCATATTACTTTTATTAAAAATTAATCAAAAGAGATAAATTAAAAAATTTGTGGTTTTTAAAATCCCATTTTTAAATGAAAAAAATTGTTTCGATAGCTTAATGACTCCACTGGGGACTTTTTTTAGAGAGTTAGGTTGATAACCGATTAATTAATTGTCTTTGTAAATGAAATTTACAAGTTCGTTCTAATTTGGTTTTTGATCCCTTGTTTGGTTTTAATTAAATTTTAGTTTGCATTTGGATTTAAATTTTGATTAACCACTAAATAGTTGTACTGATTTGTTTGTTAATATTTTCAGATTAATTATGTGTTTTTGTATTTAGGAATGAGTGTGTTGTGTATTGTTTTTCGCTTTTCCTCACACAATGCACAGTTGTATTATCATAACATGAGCTAAAACCCCGCTCCCTCCAATTTAAGTAGGAGTGAGAAACTACTCCCTCGTGTGGTTTTCACCACCGCATGGGATAGTGAATCGCTCCTATAGGTCACACCTTATGGTCCTCATGATGGTATTCACCTCCGCACGGACATAAAGAGGTGTGTTCCCTTGAATTGAACTCAATCCGAAAGACTGTGATGGGCCAGGATTGAGGGTCTGGCAGCCCTAGGGGGCATCGGCAATGACAATTCAAGAACCTGTTACTTTAGAGTTGAACCCAGTTGATAACTCCATAAAAAGACTCTATTTCTAGCCTTCTTACTTAAGTTATTGCTTGTCTAAACATAGTACGCACATCATATTAGTTGCATTTAGGCTATATTTGTTTGTGGTGGATAAGTTTTGCTTTGGCAAAATTTATTTGGTTTGACTGATACTGCCGAGGAGAAAGGATTTGTGTGGATTGTGTATATGCAGGAAATTTACTAAGAAATAACATTTCAGTCGCGACAAAGTAATTCGCAAGGGCCAGTGGAATAGAGAGGATATAAAAAGTGAGGAGCAAATTTATCTCGCCAAGACAAGGTTTATCTTGAAATTATGAAGCGGATACGACGAATCGCCTATGTCGCATGCCAGCTATATGACCTTCCTTACATGCAAGGAAGCCCTCAAGATTCTGACAACAGCTAGCCGCCTTCCTTTTTTAGACTGGATAAGACAATAACGGGTATTTAGGGAATCTCCACTTACGCGAAACCCTAGGAGATCTTCCTTATAAATACTCAACCACAACCGCCAAAAGAGGGCAAGGAAGTTCGAAGAGCTTTAATTGAAGCGTGAGCGAGCAATTGCAGTGCTTTCCCACTGTATAACACCCAAAACCCGTATAATTATACCGATACAGATTATAGATGTCACCCGAATTTTAAAACCATTTTCTTTTCAAAAACGATTTAAAATTTATTTTCTTAAAATAGTAATTGATATTAAAGAAATATCATATCATATAATTTATAATTTGTTATAGCAAATTTAATTCAAAAGATTTTTTATGAATAGTGATGAACAGTACCGTGAACAGTTATGAACAGTACCCGTGAACATTGCATCGATGCGCTACAGTAACTTCTACAGTACTCATAAAATTACCATTTTGTTTCTAAATTTGTTCAACAAAGAAAATAAAACATTAATAATTACATGCCACTAATTAAGTCTACATTACATCTTAGGATGTCTTACTGATATAAAAATATACTTCTTGATTCTTGAAGTCGCCTTGAACTCTCTATTCCTCTATGGGCTTTTTACCTACGCGTGAAAATCATCACACGCTAAGCATAAACTTAGTGAGGTAATTTAAAACCATAAACGGTGCAATACAAATCATATATGAAATTTATATTATTTTTAAATGCAAAAATCAAAACCACGTAATATAATAAAATCATTTTATCCACAACTATTGCCCACAATTCTCAATCTATGAGGAACCCGGTATAGGAGTCAGATAGTGCACAAAAGTGATGAGGTTGAGCTTCGCTCACTAATAGTGCACCGTACTGCTAAGGTCGGGTTTTACCCACCTAACTTGTATTATGTATCTTATTTGACACTATAATACTACTTAATTTTGCAGCTGTTAGACTCTATGGCATGCCATTAATACCACTGAACCTCAATAACATATTTGGGCATATAGTCATCAATTAAATCATCCATGGAAACATATAACCATGTATAAACATTAGGGCAGTTCATACACAAAATAACTTCCATATCAAATCTCATATTGATAAAACAAGGTCGACTTGTCACAAGTCTTCCATATGATGTATAAAACATCTATGTACACGATGTATAAAACATCTATGTACCATGTCATGCATGTATTACACTCACCTTTACACTTTATATAATCCACAATATGTATGCCTCACTACGATCCACAATATCTCTTTTATACTTGATTTGCTTCAATCACACTTAAATAAAAATCTGTATAAAATCACAATTCATAACAATATTTATGTTAGTATTGTACTAACATAACACATCCCAAAAAAAATTCCATAATACACTTGGAACTCATTTTCTACCAAATCTTTAACACTTAATAATTCCTTTTTAAAATTGACATCAACTTTTCCAAGTACATAAAATGGTCCTTCACCATTTTATCACATAGATTCTTAATACCAAAAATTCCAGCATAGTACATCAATTATATAACACTTATACAACAACCCCTCAATTTTTTCCAAAATTTACGAATTGATCTCCAACTTTTCAAAACTTACGAAATGGTCCTCAAATCTTTCTAAAACTTGTAGCATACTTCCTTCATCATTTTCCAACCCATATAAAAATTTTCCATAATTTTTCTCACTCAAACAAACCATGACCAAAACTCAAAGAACAAGTTCTAAAAAGATTAAACACGTTCTAATCATCACACATGCTTTAATATAAATCAACTACCTCATAAATATCCATATTCATCATCAATTTCATGATCCCTTATATGAACACAAACCCTTAAATTTGGGATCTTTGAACACCAACAAGATTACCATGCAATATTGGTACCAAAAGATAGAGTTTTTCGCATATAAAAATTTTCTATTTACTACTTACTCAAAATCCTAAGTAAATTACTTGAAAATTGAGTTGAATCTTTCCCTTACCTTTGAAGAAAACCCACGACAAGCTTGGATGAGGAAGAAGCTGAAAGTTCTCCATATTATTGATAGTCTAATATTAAATAATCCAACACATGGTATAATGGAATTTTTTTATTCAAATCAATAGGAAATTCCTTTTTGCCATTAATGAATTTCCATATTCACCATAAAACCTACACACCTCATCCTTATCATCTTTCAAAGTCAAAGATTAAATATTTTGACTTTAATTTCGGAATTTTCCCTTGAAATTTCAAAAATTGCATTTTAGTCACTAAATTCCTCTATTTCGATTAAATCTAAAAAATTGCACATTTCCAGACCAAATATCTCTGATCCAAAATATTAAAATAATATTTCCAACCATTTTATAACATTCTTCAAATTTTTGGTAAAATTCCAATTAAATCTTAAATTACCGATTCCTTTCCGGTTTTAACCATTTCTACTTTTTCTTTACCAAATTCCAAATTCAAAATATAATTCCATAAAACCCCACTCTCAAGAGTAAACTATCTATTTATGAAATAAAATTATTTTCAAGAAATTTACCACTTAATTTCCTCAAACTTTTCCCAATTTACTACTTTGACCAACAAACTTTCAAAAGTTACATTTTGGTCACTAACCAAAATTTGGGGTATTACACACCGTTTACCAAACGACTGTCCTTGGTGTCCTCCATAGCCAGGCTGTAGCAGAGTGGCGGTCAGGCTTCGAGAGAGGCTGGCCGCCAAGGCAGGTGCGGTGTTGATCAGAATTGTCACGACAAAGCCCCCAGTTTTGGGAGTCGTTCTTCATTTGTTCTTAATTTCTTTACTTGTTTGGGGTTGTATTAAAATGATAATACTTTTGTGGACTTTTTGATAACACAATGAACTGTCTTACTTGGTGTTAATCTTTATTTTGCCTAAACAATTATTTTCTTCTTTATGAATGATGAATTATGATTTTGCTCATGACTGTTTTGTTCATTGTTTAAATATTTTACCTTTACACTGTAAGAGCTTCGAGAGATTTCATGTGGTCTTGGTGAAACACGTCTTGACATTGTAAGGGCATCGAGAGATTTCTGTTTGTCTAGATATTGATTCTTAGATTCGAGAGAATTAAGATAGATCTACGCGAACAATGGAATAGATCCGGGATGGTGATGTTCTAACTTGTCTACCTTAGAGATAAGGAGAGGGTTTTAATTGACTAAAAGGGATAGATGCTAGAGCAAGATAGACAATGATTATAGTTTACGCTGAGAGGTATTGCTACAACAACAGTCTGACAAACCAAGGGTTGTAGTTAACGCTAAGTAGTATTGCCATAAAAACCGTCTAAGAATACTCAGTAATCCTGTCAGGCAGCTTAGGCATATCATAATAATTCATTCTAGACTTAGAATAATTGCTTGTCATAACAAAAGATTAGCATGAGTGCTCTGTGATAAGTCTGAATATGTGAGGTTGTTTTGAATATATTTGAATCAACGTTTACCTTTGCTTTATTTTAATTCGATAGTTTTGCATATTTATTTTGTTTCAACCAAACTTTTCTACAACCATACTTTATAATTTTTCCTTGTTTTGCTTTATTACTAATAGATTTCTAGTTTGACAAGATTCCAGGAATTAGCTTGTGACATCTAGTTCTGGTTATGGTGAAGCTTAAAAATAATCGACCAATCCCTGAGGAAACGATAACTCACTTACCCTATACTACTTTATTTGATTGTGTATACTTGCCAGAATTACTTGCCTTAGCATATACATTTACAAGCGATCAAGTTTTTGGCATCGTTGTTGGGGATTGGCAACTGACGAAATTTTTATTTTTCGCTATAACAGGTTTTTCTTGTTACCTTATATTTACTTAGTTTAACATATTTTATTATTTTATTTTGTAGGTTTTTATCATTGCATGACCCTGAGATCTACTGGTAAACCATTATGACCATTTGATCCTGAAATTGAACAGTCATTCAGACGAAGGCGATGTAACCAACGAACCAGAGAGTTTATGAATCAACTACAATTTCAAGGCAACAATGTGGGAGATCATGCAGATCTTAATACGGCAATTAATCTTTAGCGAGAAGTTGCAAGACCACTAGCAATACGAGATCCCATGAACCTAATTCTTGACGATCTAAATCCATGCATTGTGGCAACTGAAATACAAGCAACCCATTTTGAGCTTAAACCAGTGATGTTTAACATGCTAAATTTCATCTGTCAATTTGGTGGTTCACCTAATGAGGATGCTAGACAGTATATTCGTTTCTTGCGTGAAGTGTACGATTCATTTCGACAACAATGAGTGCACAAATATGTGCTTAAACTTAAAATTTTCCCTTATTCCCTATGCGATAGAGCAAGAGCTTGGCTCAGTGGAGTTCCTTCAGACTCAAAGGAATCTTGGGCGGATTTATACAGAAGTTTCCTACTTCTATACAATCCACCCAATATGAATACACAGCTACGCAATGTTATTGCATGTTTTCACCAAGGAGATGGTGGATCAATGTACGAATGTTGGGATAGGTATAAAAGTCAACTTCAAAAATGTGTGAATCATGGATTTCATGACTGGACGCAAGTCGTGATGTTTTACAACGGAGTTAATGCTCCCAGTCGAATGATGTTAGATGTCTCAATGAATGGTACTCTACTTGACAAATCACCAGAGGAAGCCTTTGATATCCTCGACAAGATAGAAAATAACGACTATCAATTCCCAAATACAAGGCTGGGAACCGGTAGAAAAGCATTTGGAGCATATGAAATTGAGGGTAAGGATTCAGTAGCTGCTCAACTTTCTGTCATAACTAATATGTTGAAAAATTTGCAGCGTCCTAATGAGATGAGAGAAGTCAAAGAAACTAGTAATGCATGCATATTTTGTCACAACAACCATCATGAGAGTGAATGTCCAGAAAACCATGAGTCTGCCAATTTTGTAGGCAACTACAACCGAAGCAACAAAAACCCCTACTAAAATACATACAATCCTGGCTGGAGATAACATCCGAATTTTTCATGGGGTAATCAAGGGAACAATAACAATCAAGCAACAAATTACAATAGGTCACATCAGAGTAACTCGGATCATCAAAATTTTCAGAATCAACATCATCAGCGGCGTTGCAAAGCACTAAAGGTACAACTTCTTCCTCTTATACCAACTCCAGTTCTAACTCCTTGGAAATTACATTAATGGAATTCATGGCATCGACAAAAGATTTCATGGCTTCAACAAAAACTATGATGCAAGAGCACTCATCAACAATAAAAATCCAAGGAAATTTGTTGCAAAGTCAAGCTTCTTTGTTCCAAAGCCATAGCTCATCCCTGAGAGCATTGGAGAACCAAGTGGGACAAATCGCCACAACATTACATTCCCGCCCACAAGAAAATCTCCCTAATGATACTGAAATCACTAAACATCATGGAAAGGAGCAATGCAGTGTACTTAAACTAAGGAGTGGAACATATATTAACCAGAATAACAAGTTTGGGGGAGGACAGCTGGATAGTTCTCGCCAAGGCATTACATAATCAGAAGATCGAGATAAAGATATGAAACAAGATGATTTTTCGAAGAGAAGAAAAAGGAGGAAGACTCCAAAAATCAGCAACTAGATAATGGGAAATTTATGGACAAGGCCAGAAATTCCTCAGCACCAATAGTAGAGGACGTGAGACCGCCACCACCATTTCCTCAACGATTGAAGAAACATAATGATGATATCCAGTTCAAGAAATTTGTTGATGTTTTGGATCAGTTGTATATCAACATGCCTTTACTTGAAGCCATAGAGCAAATGTTTTACTATACAAAGTTTCTAAAAGACATTGTTACAAAGAAGATGAATGTAGAAAATGTTGCCATGACAATATAAATATGCTTTGCAGTAAGAAGACTCCCACCAAAACAAAAAGACCCTGACAGTTTTGTAATACCATGTTCAATTGGTAACAACTTTGTAGGATAAGCTCTTGTTGACTTAGGGTCAAGTGTAAATTTAATACAAAAGTTCATATTTTTAAAACTAAAAAGCTATAATGCTTGCCCAACCATAGTTATCCTATAGATAGCTGATTGATCTTATGTGCGTCCTGAGGGAAGAATAGAAGATGTCATTATCAAGGTGGACAAATTCATATTTACAGTTGATTTCCTCATATTGGACTGCGAAGCGGTTGAAAATGCATCTATCATCCTTGGACGACCCTTTTTAGCCACTGGAGAAATTTTAATCGATTTCGAGAAGGGAGAGTTCACGATGTGGGTAGGAGAGCAAAGCATCACAATCAATGTATTCAACTCCATGAAATATGTGGACAATTTAGAAGAGTGCCAATGCATTAAAGACATGGACCCAATGGAAGAAGAGAAAAAGGCAATTCTTGGCGACGATGAATTTTTAAAGCTAGATGAATACAATACTTTATTCCATAACTCGATATCCATGATGGATAAACATGACAATCATGGCCCAGGAGACAAATTTTTAGAAGACAATTCTGATAACTATGGCCTTGGCAACAGTTGTTTGACTAAAGCACTAAACAGGTTCCCTGCGAATGATATCAAAGCAGATTATGAAGGAGAATTAGAGGAACAATCTAGTTACCTTCATACAAGATCAGGAATGAAATTCAAACCCATAGATTTTAATGAAGAGAACCCCCCCAGAATCGTCTCTACAACATGCACCCAAATTGGACCTTAAAACTTTGCCATCACATTTGAACTATGCCTACCTAGGTAGTAATGAGACTTTACCAGTGATAATTTCTGCCAATCTAACCTCCGAGCAGGAGAATAGTTTGTTAAATATTTTGTCACAGCACAAAAAGGCTCTCGAATGGACCATGGCAGACTTGAAGGGAATCAGCCCTACCATATGCATGCACAAGATCAACTTAGAAGACAACCATAGCACTTCGGTAGAGCAACAAAGAAGACTCAATCTGATCATGAAGAAGGTAGTTATGAAGGAAATCATAAAATGGCTGGATGTGGGAGTAATTTATCCAATATCCGATACCTCATGGGTCAATCCAGTACAGTGTGTACCAAAGAAGAGTGGTGTGACCGTGGTCAAAAACAAAAAATGATGAGCTTTTAACTACTCGAACAGTCATGGGCTGGCGGATATGTATGGATTATAGAAAGCTCAATAAAGCCACAAAGAAAGGCCATTTTCCCCTTCCTTTTATTGACCAAATGCTTGATAGGCTAACAGGAAAAGCATTTTACTGCTCCTTGATGGATATTCAAGATATAATCAAATAGCCATAGCACCAGAGGATCAAGAGAAGACTACTTTCACATGTCCATATGGTACCTATGCATTTAGACGAATGTCGTTCGGGCTGTGTAACGCCCTAGCTACCTTTTAGAGATTTATGATGGCAATTTTTTCTGATATGGTGGAAGATTGCATGGAAATATATATGGATGACTTCTCCGTCTCAAGCAACGATTTCAACCGATGTCTCGACAATTTATCTAAAGTACTGAAACGATGTGAAGAAGTTGACCTAGTACTAAATTGGGAGAAATGCCATTTTATGGTAACCGATGGAATAGTGTTGGGTCACAAAATTTCGTGTCAATGCATTAAATTCAATAGAGCCAAGGTGGAAGTAATCGCAAACCTACCTCCACCCACCAAAGTGAGAGGCGTTCGCAATTTCCTTGGACATGCAGGCTTCTACAGGCGGTTCATAAAAGATTTTTGTTAAATCTCAAAACCCTTGTGTCTTTTACTTCAACAAAATCAACCATTTGTATTTAATGATGATTGTTTAAATCACTACAAGAAAATATACCTTTAATGACACATGAACAATGACACACGCTAATTTATGACTTGCAAAAACTGTGTGTCATAAAAAAATGTCATGTTTCTTAAAATATGAACGATTTATGACTTACAATAATGTGTGTCATATTTAATAGTCATAATACAAAAAATTTACAAAACACGGAATACACTTTTTAAATGTGTGTCATCTCTAAAAGTCATCTTTTAATTTTCCCTCCCATTACTTTCATCATTTCCCTCTTCTTCCCCCTCGATAATTATCAGTTCACTCCGCATGCTTCCCCTTTTTCTCTTTTTTCCTTTTTCCGTTTGTCCAAAATGCCATCTTCTCCAACAAGATCGTTATGTTCTCTAAATCCTATTGCCCATATGCCATTTTTCTCCATTTCTTTTACATTTATAGTTTCGTTTCAACCTTTCAATGTTCATGATTTAGAATCAAGATAGCGTAATCAATCTTGTTTCGACTTTTTGACTTCATGGGTATTTCTTCAAAAGTATAATTGGAACTTTAATTCTTGGGGGTTTTGTGATTAGATAATATGATGGGCTGCTCCTAATTCTTTCACTTTTGTCTTGTTTGTAGGTATTGCCTTCGTGCCAAGCGGATTTTCAGTGAGCTAAATGAGAAACCATATGTTTTAGAGATTGATCTCCGACGTATCTGTGGATATCATTCATCTGCTTTTGATTCGTTTATTGTATGTGTGTGTATGTGTGTGTGTGAGTAGAAAAAGAGTAATTTTAGATGAAGTGTTGACTTGTTGAGTTTTTGTTTTAGACGATGGAGGTAAATTCCAGTATGTTCTTATGGATTTGATAGGTCGAAGCATTGTTCCACAAGTGTTTGTTAATGACAAGCATATTGGAGGCTCTGATGGTTAGCTACTTTGTCTCTATAGTATTGGTTTTTCTAGATATTAGACATATATATATATATATATATATATATATATATATTGATTTCATTTTTTATTTCTTTCTGACTATTTAGATCTAAGAGTTGCGGTCGATGATGGTACACTGCAAAGGCTTTTAGCTGCAAGTTGATGAACTGCTAGAAAGAATGAAATACAATCATTCAATCTGATTCGTTAACTATAAAACTGCTCAAAGATTAGAGAATCATATATGGGTTGTGAGTTTTGTTAGTTCACAGCAAGATTTCGATGAGTGCTCTATTATAATGGCATGCCCTTTGTGAGGTTATCTTATATTTCTTCATCGTTATGGAGGACTCTAGTTTAGATCTTAAGTACATTTTAAATGTAGATGAGGGAGGGGGCAATAACCTCATTTATCTTTCACATTAATCTATACTTCACATTAATCTATACTTCTATTGGTCGATCATTTTTCTCTAACAAATGGATTTTAGGAAGTCCATGTTCATAAGATGCGCTTCTTCTGAAATATGTCAACATGGGTTTCGTATATAATTTTCAAATAAAATGTCTTCAATTATGCTTCTGAATGATCTATTTTGTGGTTCTTTCTTGTTGTTAGCATTGATGTGTATGAAAAATTAGAAAAATGAAGATATTTGGTTAATATTATTTGAACTGACTGCTGCTAGTGATATGGAAAAAATACAGGAGATGAAATACAGTTGTTTGAAGATGGAGCATGCAAGTGATTGGATGGGTGCTCAGCTGACCGGACAGATTTTGTTTCAGGACAACATTCCTGCAATAGATGATTCTCCCTTTACAATATCATGCAACAAAAGTCCATAACTGATCAAGCTTTATTAATTCATTACTTGTGATAGTTAGGTTTAGGTTACAACTAAAGCAATGATGTTTTTTTTCGGTTTTAATTTGATTAGGAATGAACTTTTCGTTTATGCAATTCATTCTCTCCATTTTTAAATTATTTATTTCTTATTGCAGTGGGTGTTGTCTCCCAAGTACTTCAATTTCCCATTTCCTATGACGTTGACAATGATTCACATGGCATTCTCCAGAATCGTTGCATTTTTCCTTGTCCGTGTTTTCAAGGTATGATTGACATGCAACTAACTTCAATTTCTTTTCCATCTAGCATTGCTAACTATTGTAAGGAATGTCTTCATACTAAACTGTTGAATGCTAAACCACATATTCCCGTCTCAACAATATATGCAAATGCAACTAGCTGTAGGAATGCCAATTAAGTTTGTTATAATAAAATGTGTTTTTTTTGTTACATTGTCCCTATTTCCAGAACTTAGTGGTCTCTTTATGATCTGTAACTAGCTGTAGGAATGCCAATTAAGTTTGTCACAATTAAATTTGTCTTCATTCTCTTTTTGTCTTCTCAAGTGGTTTTCTAGAGTGCTAAATGCTACCTTTTTTTGGTATATCAGCTGGTGTTTCCACAGATGATAAAAATTGGCCACCAATTTTCCTAATTATACATCATGATATAGCTAATGAGATATCGGTTCATGCTCAGAGGCTACAATATCTTGCATTCGCAAGTTGGCTTGGTGTGTAAGTTTATTTTTTGGCTTCTTATTGGATTTTTCTATACTACTATTCATTCCAAGATTTTTAATGTAAATTGTTACGCAAAAGATAAAATTTATTGAATTTAAGTTTTTGCACTGAATTTTATTATTATATTTGGTGCAGGTTGATAAAGTGAAAAATTAATTGCTAAAAAGCTAAGCATTGAACTGTACTACATCTGTAGTGCTAAAAAGCTTAGTTGACGTTAAGGATAGAAGAAAGAAAGTAGGATAACAACTATATGGACAGAAGTGAAAAAACATTGAAGGGGTGTTACACTTTGATGTAAAATCTACTGAATTATAATTCAAAGATTGAATAGTTTCTTGCACAATTGTGTTGCTGTTAGCATTAAAATATCTATCCCATTTATTGTATTTAGCTTTAATTTACTAAGAATAATCATATGTTTTATAATGTGTTATCTGATCATCTTTGTTATTATTAGATCCTGATATTTGGTATTTATAATTGTCAGTGTTATATAGCATTATAGTAAGAAATCCAAGAAGTTGGACGAGGGGAAAATAATTCATGCTACACATACTAGTTTTTGGTCAATACTTAGTTAAGAGAACATGAACTGAGCATTACTAGTTTACAAATGTATTTGTATACCAGTTTATAAATGAAAGTAGTGACGAATAGTTCTGAGTTTTTCCTATTTGTTTGCTTAGTTTTCTTGCGATGTTAGCCATGTTGTTTATGAGCCGAATTTTTTTGAAATGTCCTCCTTTTAAGTTCTAGATAAAGATTAAGTGATTTTTTTGGGCTGGTGGTATTTAATATCTATCCCAATTTTCGGGCCCTGTACCACCTGAACTTGGGGATTTAGTGAACTTGGAAACTTTGTAAGGAAAAACTCAGTACCTTATTCTTCTTCTTTGTTTAATATTTTACGATTCTCTTAATTTTTTGATAAATTGGCCTTGATCAAATGATTTGTTTTCATGCTCATTGTAATTCCAGGATGCTCTCATCCAATCAATTAACTCAGAATTTGGCAATGATATTTAGTTTACTAAGAAATCTAACTGACTTGTAAGTTTCTTCAAATTTTCCTCTATTTTAAACTACGTATCTGGACACGTTCATAGGATCAACACTGATGTGTTTGAAAATATTGCATTTCTCTTTTGTGCAGGAGGATTAGAGATATAAATGGGCCAAGTCAAGATTTTCATGTGCTCAGAAACATGAAATGCCTACTGACATTGTATATTTTGTGCTCAAGTTATCAAATATTTTGAAGGTTCCATCTATATATGATTCATTTTGACATAACATAATCCTGTTATATTTGTATAGGGTTTTAAGGAATCTTATGTGACAAACTTTATTATGTCGTGATATTTTGTATCTACATATGATTACAATATTTTTTGATAACTTCATGTGAATATATTGTATGCAAATGGATTGCTTATATATAATATGATATATATATTTAGTATTATGAGGCATTAAATGTGATTTAGTTTGATTATTTGTCAATCTACAATATATATATATATATATATATATATATATATTAATTTATGACAAACAATCGCGACACACGAATGTATGTCATCTTTTCTAATGACGTGTGCTTCAATGACACGCAATGTAAGTCATAAATGCGTGTCATAAATTTATGACACACAAATGTGTGTCATCTTCATTTATGATGGGGGCTTCAATGATGCGCAATGAACGTCATAAATGCACGTCATAAATGCGCGTCATAAATGCATGTCATAAATGTGCGTCATAAATTTATGACGCACAATTGCGTGTCATCTGAGATTCATGTCGGTGGCTTCAACGATAGGCATTTATGTGTCATTCACACCCATAGATGACACGCAATGCGTGTCATTAAAGGGGTTTTTTCTAGTAGTGAATGCTTTTACAGATTTGAAGAAAAAACTTTCAGCAACACCAATCGTTGTTCTATCTGACTAAAACAAATCTTTTGAGTTCATGTGCGAAGCTAGTAATTACGCAGTTGGGGCAGTGCTAGGGAAACGAAAAAAGTAAACTCTTTCATGTTATCTACTATGCTAGTTGTACTCTTAATGATGCACAAGTAACTACACCACCGCTGAAAAAGAACTTCTGGCAGTAGTATTTGCATTCGATAAGTTTAGGCCATATCTCATAGGAACTAAAGTAATTGTGCATACAAATCACTCAGTCATTATATACTTGATAATAAAAAATATGCAAAGCCTAGGCTAATTAGATGGATATTATTACTACAAGAGTTCGATTTAGAGATCAATGATAGAAAAGGTATGGAAAACCAAGTACCAGATCATTTGTCTAGACTAGATAACAAAATTAGTTGTCATGACATAACAAAGATTCAAGAGGATTTCCCTAATGAGAAAATTTTATTTGTCACGGTCGTGTCGTGGTATGCTGACATAGACAACTTTCTTGTTAATGGTATTGTACCCCCAAATTTGTCTAGCCAAGGCCGAAAAAAGTTTTGACATGATGTGCGATATCACTACTGGGATGAATTATTCCTATTCAAGCAATGTGGAGATCAAATAATAAGAAGATGTGTCCCAGAAAAAGAGCACAAAGAAATACTACTTTAATGTCACTCATCACTATATGGAGGACATTTTGGTGGGATGAGAACAACGGTGAAGGTTCTTCAATCTGGTTTCTATTGGCCAACCTTGTTCAAAGATGCACACGAATTCTACAAATCATGTGATAGATGCCAACGAACATGGAACATATCAAAAAGACATGAGATGCCATGGTAAAACATTCTGGAGGTTGAACTTTTTGACGTATGGGGGATGAATTTCATGGGACCCTTTCCCACTTCTTTTGGTGATCTATAAATACTCTTGGAAGTGGACTATGTGTCCAAATGGGTAGAAGCAATAGCAACACCTAAAAATGATTCCAAGACAGTCCTGAAATTCTTGCACAAGAACATATTCACATGTTTTGGAACGCCACGAGCTATCATCATTGATGAAGGCATACACTTTGATAACAAATTAATTGCCAAGGCGCTGAAATGATATGGAGTGCGACATCGGATAACTATGGCATACCAGCCCCAGACTAATGGTCAAGTCGAAGTCTCTAATCAGGAAATCAAATAGATCCTTGAGAAAATGGTCAATTTAAGCCGAAAGGACTGGTCGCCAAAGCTAGATGAAGCATTATGGGCTTATAGCATAGCGTTTAAGACACCGTTAGGAATCTCCCCATTCAAACTCGTCTACGATAAAGAATTCCATTTGCCTGTGGAACTCGAACATAAAGCTTACTGGGCCATCAAGAAATTAAACATGGATGCTTAGATTGTTGGAGAAAGAAGACTCTTGGAATTGAACGAAATTGATGAATTCAGAGCACACACTTACAAAAATGTCCACCTATACAAAGAAAAACAAAACGATGGCATGACAGAAAAATATTTCCTCGGCAATTTTATTATGGACAACAAGTACTGCTCTATAATTCATGACTCAAATTATTCCATGCAAGCTAAAATCACGATGGCCAGGACCGTTCATAGTACATCAAGTTCATGACAATGGA